CTTTCAGGGTAAAAAACCCAAACATCTATGTTGGATTGAATTACTCACCCTAGGTATAGGACATGTCATATTTAAAGGCACGATGCGCATGGATCGCTAGGTAGGTGCCGCAAGAGGAGATGATGATCCCATGTGGTTGTCGCAAGATTAGATGGTGCTAGGGCTTGACGTAAGATCGAGGCGATGTTAATGTCTTGTGCTATGCAATGAATAAAATCATAGACATATAGTAGCCACACAAGTTAGTCCCCTCTTCGTAAACACAAAAGGAGAAAGGAGCTTATGAAATATTTCTATTATAGAATACTCCCTCTTTCCCAAATTGATCATCATATAATGGATTTTAAAATTTCTCAAATTAATCATCATATAACCACATGTACACGGATTTCATCATAATACAATTAATGTAGCATGGGAGAATGTGTGCATGCTAAGGTGTAATTGACATAGTGTTTCCAATCAATGTATGCATTGTGGGAGAATGTGTGTATGGTGATCTTGATCAATGTGATTTAAATTATCCTTGGTTTCGGTGAATAAACATATATGATGATCAATTTGGGAAGGAGGGAGTATATAATTTTGGACGATACGTACCAGAAAGTCCATACTCACAACCAGTTCTTCCTTGAAATGCCCGCGGACGTCTTAACGAAAATTTGCCAACGCCATACAGTTGCAAACTATAATTAATCTACATAGTAGCGATAGCGTCTATCATAATGACAGTAGCAGTGGATGACATTACCTGTTAATCATGCCGAATATTGTGTCGAATGTTTCCTGTTCATTACGCATATAGTCTAATACATGAATATAGTGGAATATGCAAATTACATGAAATTGGTATAAAAGGCAGTAAAAAAATTTGTGAATACGAGAAGGAAATTGGTATAAAAGGCGGTAAAAACTCACGTGTTGTAGGGCAATAATATGAACTCCTTATAATGTAGTTGCACTAGGAATTTGTAAATGTTATCCTCGGTTTCTCCTGTGAAATCATCTACAGTCTTCTCCTTGATTATGTATGGGTCCATGAATCCACACTTGAAGTATCCACCCCTACGACAATTTTGAATAACCTCCATTCCACAGCCAAAAAAAGACGTTAAATCTTTGATGTTACATACGACGGACTAATCAATGAAATAAAATTAAACGACACTTAATTACAGAACCCAGCAATTGACAAGAGAGACGTCAAGGGCGTCTTGTTGGTATACATTGTACACATCCTTGAACTTGATCCACATCGTACATCCCACAGAAGTCTTTATTTTTAAATCTTTCAGCGAACATAACCCTACCATGAGTTGATTGATCCATGTACCATTTATGGAATCGATACATCTATACATCTGTGTACTTAGTTCCTTGACCAGCTCTGGCTTGACAAGTGGTGCGCCGATTGCGTATGAGTGTTTTAGATCTTCTTCCATGGCTTTCTTGATAGGCGCTTTCCCCATCAATTGCTCTTTGATAAGACATGTATCTGCCATAAATAAAGTAATTTCATCAACAGTTTGCAAGGGGTCAACCGCGTGTTTATCTTGCATTCCAAACTAGGGGACATTCTTTGTCTTTCTTGTCCTCTTCTCAAAAGATTTGCGAATTGAGTGGTCTAGTCTTATGCTAAGGCATTTTTGTCCAATTCGCTCATCTTCTAAAAAAAGACCTTAGTTGTCAGGTCTATTGGAGTCTTGTTCTGTGGACTCTGTGACTTGAAGAACTCCTTCACTTGCCTTTTCACTTCCTCGTCAGTCCTATCATACGCTCTTTTCTTGAGAGCGGCTTTCTTTGGCTCGTCAACTCTAGGCATCTTCGTGGGGCTTCCACTCGGCGATGACGATGATGGCGAGAAGATGATTGCGAAAAACTGCTAAGTCTCGATCTACTTATAACTAGATTTTTAGTTCCGGTTGGTATGAACAACCGAGACTAAAAATAGCTTTAGCTCCGGTTATTCTTACCAACTGAGACTAAAAATCCGTTCCCGCTATTTCCAATTTTTTAGGTATCGGCCTTGGATAACATCTGGGACTAAAAATTAATGAGAATAAGTTAAATATGGCCCAATTAATTGCATCAAAAATAGGTTAAAAACTTTAGTAATTAACCGTGGCCCAATTAACTGCATTAAAGATTAAAAAAATCATAAAAAATAAGTAAAATACATTAAAAAGAGGTTAAAAATTATAGCACTTGGTCACAGGCCAAGTGCTATGACCGCTGCTCATCTCTCCAAATGGACGTTTCATGGTCCGTTAACATACGCTCCAATTTCCGGACCTCCTTTTCACTTTCGCAATCTTTTTTTACATCATACAACATCTGACCAAGATCATCCGAACCGTCGTTTTCTTCAATAACTCCTTCCGCCTCGCCTATTGTATTTTCTACAAATCTATCGTATTGAGCCCAGTCCGGAATGTTGTCGCCTTCTTCTTCATCTTCTTCCATTGGAACTCCTAACTCTTCGTGCGAGGTCCAACAATTATAGCTAGGCATGAATACCGTCTTCAACAATTGGATATGAAGAGTTCTTGATGAAGAATACTTCTTCTGGTTTTTGCACTTTTTGCATGGACAACATATAAAACCCTTAGGTTCGTGGGCATTGGCACACTCAAAAATAATGCACGCCATCAATAAACTCCATCGACCGTCAGTCTATGGTGTACATCCATTTCCGATTCATCTACATCAAATAAACAAATGTAGAGTAAGTCCACAAAAGTGAAAATAATTAAATAATCATATAATAATTTAAAACATCATAATTAAAATCAAAACTGACGGTACACGTTTTTAATGAATTCATCTTATTTATAATGATTTTAACGAGTTTTAAATGGACTTAATCGAAGTCATGGTTAATTACATGAAATTCTACCAGTTTTAAAAAATTGTACATATATTTTTTCATGTATTATCCTTATTTTAATTATTTTTAAGAGTTATTTTGAAGTTGTAAACATATTTTTAATGCACTCTACCTATTTCTAACTATTTTAGTGCTTTTAAATCGACTTTGTTTCCTATTCTTTTGTCTTCATTTTCTATATTTTTCCTTTGTTGTCTTTTTTAAATATTTTTATCCAAATGTTTCTAATATTAAGAAGTACCCATATTTTCTCTAAAAATTTGTTATCTCTCATCTTTTTAGATATAACTTTTTGAGAAGGAATGATGTATTAAAACATAGCTAGAAATGTAATGTGTTAACCATACATTAATAGAGGATGAAGTTGCTAACCTTTTAGTTCCCTTCGATTTGTATCATATCACCAAAATATTTTCACAGAAAATTTTGGCAGCACCTCTCTTCCTCCTCCTTTCACTTTGCAGCAATGGCTTGGGCTAGAGGAGGAAGCTATATAAAAAGGACATGATCTTTAGTGCCGGAAATCTATCACCACCACAAAACAAACAAAATACAACAAACGCACAAGGGTGAAAGTAAGAGAGAGATAAGGGGGAGAGAGAAGGAGGGGGAAGAAGTGAATAAGAGAGAGGACGGCATATGGGCCCCATATGTTAGTGCGTCCCACAATTTTTTTGTTGGATGAAAAATGGGTCTCACATGTTTTTATAAATTCTACTGCTACATAAACGTCATGTCAACGCCACATGGGACGAAGACAGGTCAACACCGCCACGTCAGCGAAACCGCTCTCCAAAACCGTTCGGGTATCGAAATATCCAGAATTGTAGTTTAGGGATAAGAATCAGATTCAGCCACTAGTTAAGGGAGTCAAAGTGGACTTATTCCTTTTAGATATGGTTTTCAGTTGTACAATTATTTTCACTCATATTTCCCAAAAAAGGAATAAGTTCACCAGCCATCCCTCAACTTTATGTCGAGTCTGTATGACATCCCTAATCCCCAATACCCACTCCTAAAATATACAAAACCGTGCAATTTAGGTCCTATAGCGGTATGGATCTCTGGTTACACTGATGTGGCATCCTAGTTTAGCAAAAAAAAATTATGGGGCCCACATATAAGTGAGAAGAAAAAAAAGTAGGGACCGCATCTCTTTTTTCTTCTTTTTTCTCTTCTATTTTCTTTCTGCTCTTCTCTTCTCTTGTCTACTTCAGGGAGCGAGGCTGCCGGCAGTGCAGGCTAGTGTGGCAGCGAGCGGCAGATGAAGCGGCGGCGGGCTAGTGCCGCAGTGAGCAGAGCACGGAACAGCGGCGAGCGAAGCAGTCAGGGGACGGTAGGCATAGCGTGACCACCGAGAAGGTGAAGGGAGCTCGCCGCACTCCCTCTCTCATCGGCGCCTCCTCTCTTTCTGCGACGGCGTCCGTCGTCCCTAATCCTTGCCTCCGAGCCTAATCGGTGTCATCCCCAATCCTTGCCTCCGAGCCTAGTCCTTTTTGCGACGACATCTCGTTGGCGTATTTCCCAATCATTGTGCGGTCCAAAACCATCGCCGGTCATGCTTTGCTCCGCCCACATGTCCCTACTGGCTGCTCTGCCTACTGCTGCCCGGACGTCCCTGCACTGCGTCTCCGCCCCATGCCTCGTGCCCATTGCTGAGCCGCCATCAGCGCCGAATCCGTGGGCAGAGACAATCTAGCATGATTGGGAGTTCGTTCGCCGCCGTCTCTGCCACGACCGCGACGGTGCACCCATGAGCTCACCCATCGCGGGAGCCTATGGAGGCGTTCACCGCCTCCTTCACCGCGACGCCCACCACAATAGCTAACCTAGAGGACACTGACATGTGGGGCTCACCGTATGCCACGTCAGCGAAACCGGGGAAAAATTAGATCAATACTGCCTCGGGACTTTTTTTTTTTTTTTTTGCATGATTGGGGACCTTAGACAGATTCGACGTAAAGTTCAGGGACGTCGGATGAACTTATTACCCAGATAAAATAGTGGTCCCAGGGATGCAGTCGCGACATGCGGGCCGGGCCTGATTGGGCCGGAATGGGCCGCCTCCGCCGCCACCACACGGCGAGTACATTTCTCGCCGGCAACACAAACAGAAACAGGAGAGAGAGAGAGAGGAGAAGAAACAGGAGGAGGAGGAGATCGAGGAGGGGATGGGGATCCGGTTCGTGGTGATGGTGAACAAGCAGGGGCAGACGCGGGTGGCGCAATACTACGAGCACCTCTCCGTCGACGAGCGCCGCGCCCTCGAGGGCGAGATCGTCCGCAAGTGCCTCGCCCGCACCGACCACCAGGTCCCAATTCCCTCCTTTCTCCTTTCTCCTTTCTCCGCCGCCGAATCTTGTGTGGTTCTTGGTAGAGAGAGAGAGAGACAGAGGAGATCCGCTCTGATCTGATTGGATTTGTGTGGTGCGTCAAAAATTTGCAGTGTTCTTTCGTGGAGCACCGCAACTACAAGGTGGTGTACCGGCGCTACGCCTCCCTCTTCTTCCTAGTCGGCGTCGACAACGATGAGGTAATGCGTGTGAATTCATCGTCCTCCTCTCTCCCCATCATCTTCATGGATTCAGTTTTAGGCAGCACCAATTAATAAGCACTGATATGAAGGTAGAATTGGTTTGTATAGACGACGTGTCAATGGCTGAAAATCCGTCTTTGCTGTAGAGGTGTGGTTGCTCTTTGTCATCCGGGGTCTTCTGGCTAGCTCCATAAGCTGGTGGGCTAGACGACTTGGGTTCAAAGCCTCACACTTTCTAATTATTTGATATTAGGTCCTTCCCTAATATTCGCTTCTTTTTTTGCTCTTTGTCATCTGTCTTTGCTCAACCCAAACACAAATGATGTGCTTAGGATTGAGTCTAAAAGGGATAGATTTTGCAATTTTACATGTATATTTGGCTCGCTCAATGTCATCATTAACTTGTGTCCTATCATTATTGACCTGTCCTTCTATGGCATATCTGTACTTGGTTAATTTCCACTATTATTGTTTGCACCGTGTCTCAATCCTGTATTGTTGAGCTCCGATTTGTTTCTAGTGTCTCAAGCAATCTTTGCTACTAGTTTCCCCTTCCCCCCTGGCACACTTCTGTGCGTCTGAAGCGGAAATCTAACTGGAGGTCAACAGCACTTATTTTGGCTTCTAAGAGTTAATGTAAATCCATAAGTTTGATTTGCTATTTACTGGAAATCAAATTATTTGGATTTACTTGATGAATCATAATAGTTTCAAATTTCCTTGTTTGGCAAGGTCGCAAGAGCATCATATAAGGACTAATATTACTAATTACATCGACTAAAGGAGCTCTGGAGTTAACTCTAGAAACTTTGCAATGTCGAGCTCATGTGTACTCAGACTGTGCATGTATTAAATCTGCAAACGTTCAGTTCAAATAAACATAAAAGGCAGCCTTTATACATGTTCTTTTAGCAGACATTGGAGCAAGCATTGATTGTATTCTACATTGCTGATACAATTTGGGCAAAAGCTTTGTTGCCTGAAAGCATCAAATTATCTCATAAAGAACCCCTCTATTTCGCATTTGGAACTGCTAACCTCTGATTAGTCTGACGGATATTTCCTGAACATCGATCTTCTACGATGTCTTCAGTGGTAGTTAAACAAAGCACGGGTGAGGTGGACAAAATGATCTAATGATGGATTGTCAGCCCTCCCATCAGAAACACAACTTCCCCTCATTTTGGCACATTGCCAGGATCAAGCACATCAGAATCAACGATGCGAGGTAGGGAGTGACGAGAGAGGGAGAGAGAAAGATAGGTGTTTGAAATAAGGAGAAATGATCTTACCATCCATTCCAGAACCCCTAAAAATGTATATCAATAAAAAAGTGACTACTGCCTTGATCTACAGTCATGTCGGTTCATTTACGTTAATATTTGTTCAGTTATACTCACGTGCAATGGTTCATTAATTGGGTGCAGTGGTTTGTTTATGCCCGTACTGTCAGATTGGTTATTACAATAGTGGGTCACAACAGCAGAGGCTAGAGGGGGCATGAGGGTAGGTGCTGTTTTCATTTCACCAAACAGTGCCCTGGGCATCTGACAGTAGATTATATTCTAGTATGGTCCCATTTTGTAGGGATTAATTTTTTACAATGTCTCTTTATTGAGCCTGCTCCCTTTGGTTAGTTGTTAACCACCTGGCTTATCTATGAATTTTGTTGCAATTGGTGATCGTTCATTTTCTCATCTAATATGTTTCTACTCAAACAATTTATGTATCTAAGAAAGAGGATTCTCCCTCCAAACCGTTATTGTTTTCATTTTTCAACTTACAAGAGAGATGGGCACTTGCATTTCAAATTTTGTGATGAGTAGATTATGTTGTAGCTATACACAAGAGTTCTAACCATCGTCACATCCATTTTCTTGCTTTCGTCCTTGTAACTGAATATGTTTGAACTGTGTCTGTTTTGGCAGAATGAGTTAGCTATCCTTGAATTCATTCATCTTTTGGTTGAAACTATGGACCGTCACTTTGGCAATGTGGTAAGCTTGCCTAATCCCAACAAAATTTTCTTATCATCGTGAATATCCTTACATGACTAGAACTGATGATTCTTATCTTTTCTTCTTTGTCTGCACAGTGTGAGCTCGACATTATGTTCCATCTGGAGAAGGTGCACTTCATGCTGGAAGAGATGGTGATGAATGGTTGCATTGTCGAAACTAGTAAACAGAACATCTTGGCACCAATCCACCTGATGGAGAAAACTTCTTAGAAAAATGCTATCCAACAGGGGAGTGCCTCATACTGTTCTGCTTATCGCCACCGCCTCTGTGCTTCTATAGATTTTTCATCTCAATGTGTAACCATCAACGATTTCCATGTGCATAGACTATTAAACTTGACCTGATAGGAAATAATGAGAATATGACAGATGACGTCTCTGTTCTTTAATGTTATCTTGCTGTGAGTTGTGTTATTTACTCTAGGATAAATAGGTTGAAAACCTTATATTAGTTGCAAAATAATAAAAAAAAACTCCATGCTAATCTAATAAAATTCTATATTAATTACTGATTGGTTTGGTATCATCTACAGCTTATTTTGATTATTGACCTATCAATCTTATATCGACTGAATACTATGCACTACGCATATAAAGATAAAATTTGTTAAATGATGTATGGTTGGATGTGGGATGATTGTTAAGGGTAGAAAAGAGAAAATTTTGAATTAGAAGTGACTGATGGGATAAGTAGTATTCCATTGTAACAACTATTTTGGGACAAAGTTTGAGTCCTAAAGAAACAACTAATTTGGGACGGAAGGAGTATCATACTTACCCTGGACATGGTATTTCCATATTTGCACATACTTTCTTGGTACATTTGATCACGATGCCTGCGAGGTTATAGCTTCGAAACACATGTTGCAGAAATATGAATCATACACAATTTTTTTAAAAAAATCTGTACTTCGGTGTTTAGCTTAATTAATCACACTTGCCCTGGACATGGTATTTCTGTATATGCACTTCTTTTCTTGCAAAGTTGCAATATTTGATCAAGATGTCTGCAGAGTGTAGAAATGTAGCTTAGAAACAAATATGCAATAGAATTAGAATCACAGAATGGAAATGGCCCATCTAATCTAAAATAGAACTAACCTTTTTCCTGCAAGAAATGTTCTATGGACATAGCCATTGTAGTGTTCGCTTGTGTGCTCGCCTGTGAAAAAATGCTTCCATTAGGATCCTTGAAAGTTTGGAAAGGGAAGTTCTCAGCTAGTTGCAGTGAATTTTCTTACAAGCACATTACGCTGATGAAAGTAAAACATTTACTGGTTATAAAGTTGAAGTGGATATTTTGCATCTAGCTACATGTGCAGTTATTTGTGTCTATTCATGTGTGCACACCCTAAAACTAAAGAATCATCGATGTAAAACATTCTGGAACATTTGCATGTGCAGAAATTTGTGTAAAAAAGATAAAATTTGCACTATTAAATAAAAAGAAGTGAAATTTACATTACAGAATAAATTGTGTTGTATTTGTACTAATAGGATGATCTTTACTTTTGCCAATTGAACATTTTCCAACATCTATGACGTTGTGAAGTTTTTATAATTTTACCATACCAAAACATGGGTGCATGTCAGTTGTCAACCTAGAACAGAGTTCGCTTTCTGGAAATGATTACTACAAAATGTTGTTTGCGTAATTGCCCCTTATTCCTTCTATGAAAATGTTAGCAAGCCCAACTCTCAAATTCCAACTCCAACTCTATCAGCAACAACCCAATACAAGTAGCAGCAAGTCCAAAGTACAGAGAGAAGGAAAAACTAGAGGACTCAGAACAGTTGCCAATGAACAACTGATTCAACAGTTTAAAAAAAGGGCATGTCAAGCACTGTGGACGGCATACCGAACATATATGCTATAGATCATAGAGATAGTCACATTTTCAGAATAATTTTCTCCTCAGTCCACAGTATTTTCTCGTAAACCTTAATCTCGACTTATAAATAACGTAAAAATACTTGTAATATTTGTGAACTGAGCGAGTTTTGCAGGAACAAAACTGGCTCGTCAAGGCGCTTCTCCCGTCACCTCCTTAAAAGATCAGGACTTTGTATGCTTGCTTCTTCATAACCGAAATGAACTATTAATTCTCCCGGGTAGTTTCAATCCACAATATTCGAGATTAAAAATTCACGATTTTTAAGTTGAAATTCACGTTTTTTGAACTTCAAAATACACTCTTCTGTGCTCCATCCGTATATAACGAGCCCATGTTTTTTTTAAAAAAAAATAATAGGCAACCTAATATAACTTTTGATTAATAACTGAACTAACATGTGTTGTTATTAGATTTGTACTTGAAAGTATTTTCCATACTGAGTTCGTTTCGTAGTTGTTGATAATTATGAAAGAAATTAATGGTTGAGCTCACGTAATACCTAATATTTTCAGACGAAGGTAGTAATTTCTAAGTGAATTTTAGTTTGGCTTGTAATAAAGTTTCGCTTTACATCCCTTTAATACATGGAGTATTTTTTTAGAGAAAAGGTCACTAGGACCCTGCTTCTATTGAAAGCAAATATAGCATTTTGCCGGGGATTCCAGCTTACAAGTTAGAACTTAAACAAAAATAACAGATTTCCTTCAGCCAATGACCCTGCTTCTATTGAAGCAAATATAGCATTTTGCCGGGCATTCCAGCTTACAAGTTAGAACTTAAACCAAAATAACAGATTTCCTTCAGCCAACACTGGCTAGAGACACTACGGCAGCCGACACCAACATCCAGAACTCTCTCAGAATTAAAGGGATAAGTCTATTTTACACCCTCTAAGTCTTTAGCTTGTCTAAAGCACACCCCACAACTTTAAAACCAGACAGACATTTGACCCCCTCAAACTTTCAATACAGTACAAAAGACACCCTCGAGTGGTTTTCTACACTATTTTTGCACATTAGGATGCCACCTGTATAGATTAGTTAGTCCCATGTATCAGTCCGGTCCTCCTTCCTCCTCTCCACTGTCTCTCTCTCCTTCGGCATGGGCGCATGGCTCATCCATCTGCCCAGCGAGGACCACCGCACACCCATCGACATCTCGTCCCTGACGGAGCTGCAGATTCGCCGCCTGCAAACACCGTCCTCCAATACCCATTCCACCGCCGTAGAGGATGACAGCCGCAAGCGCGCAACCAAATCGAGCTCCAGCACCTACGGCGGTGGTGGTGGAGGCGGCAGTGGGGGCGGCGTTCTCCGGCGAAGGCAGCGGCACAGGGACGAAGCAACTCCGAGTGGAGAGGCGGAGCTCGCCGAAGATACATGCGCGGGGAGGAGCTCGAGCGCCATGACTACCGCGAGTTTGGCGCACCCATTCGTCGAGCTTGGCGGAAGCAAGCTCGAGCTTTACTCAATGAGCAGCGGGCACGCCTCCATCAGATTGTCTACGAGCTAGCTCTGTCATCGCTGGCCGCCTAGCTCCTCCTCTGCGATCGAGCTCCGTCTCCGTTGCCGCAGACCGGCCGGCGCGTTCTCCGGCTCAGACGCTCAGTCGAGTACTACTCCTGTCCTGCTCCTAGCCGTGCTTGTGCTAATCCATCGTCTCCTGCTTGGAGGTGTGGAAGCCGAACAGCTTTAGCTTTGGGATTGACATGCTCATGACTGCAAAGATGAGTAGCTAGCAGCACAACGTAATAGCTTGCCGAGATTAGTAATAGTATACTCCCTCCTTCCTTAAATGTTACTTTTTTAAACATGTTTGACCATTCGTTTTATTCAAAAACTTTTGTGAAATGTGTAAAACTATATAAAAGTATATTTAATAATAAATCAAATGATAGGAAAAGAATTAATAATTACTTAAATTTTTTGAATAAGACGAACGGTCAAACATTTTTTTAAAAGTCAACGACGTCAAAGATAACATTTTGGGATGGAGGGAGTATATTAGTAGTTACGATAAACAGGAGAAGCATCACACACAAGTCACTAGAGACAGGTCGAGGTCTATATCGCGCTTGTGTCGGAGCTGCTTCTTCCTCGCTTCCGCCGACGACCGCGCGCAACGGCTTGGAGCTGCTACTTTCCTGCGACACCTCCTCCGCCGACGACCACAGCTGCTTGTCGGAGATGCGCACCACTGACCGCTCGACCCTGCCTTCGCAGTGCCGCTACCGCCGCCGCTCGTGAAAAAGTAAGATCAAAACAACCCAGCGATATGGGCTTGGCCCACATAATCGTAAGCGCTGACGTGGTGAAGGGTTGATGTAGCATCCTACGTGTCATCCACGTGTGCAAAAACCATGGTAAAACAGCCCAAGGGGGTCAAGTATCCGGTATTGACAGTTAGATGGTGTATTATACCCGGTTTCGTAGTTTGGGGGTGTATTTTAGACAAGCATAAAAGTTCGAGGGTGTCAAATGGACTTTTCCCTATTTTAAATGTGGGTCTTCTGATCTTTGTGACACTTTCCCCTTCCTATCTCAAACTGTGGCCACGTTTCTATGAAAATCAGTTTCGCAGGCGCTCAAAACACATACGGCCAGTGGCTCTGCCTACAATTTAAGGCCTGTAAATCTCCAACTAGGTGGTGGATACGGTGATAAAGACTAAAGAAAACTGAGCTAGAGTTGAGAATAAGAGAGAAAATGATTTGCATAATTCTTTTCTAACTCACAACGTACCAAGTCATCAAGCGACTAACAGAAACATTTATTCTACACTCACAACCAAGTCAAATAAGCAACTAATTAATCTGTCTGGTCTCCACTACTTTTCAGCAACAAGCACATTATTTCCTCCAAATTAAGCAAAAACGGGAGTTTTAGACTCCTCTGTCCTAAAAAGAATCAAACTCTAGAATTTGTTTTTTTTTGAGACGGAAAAAGTACGTCGCAATGCCGGCCAATCAGCTCTTTGAAGCCGCCGCCGCCGCAGCACCAGCGGCAGCCCACTGTGCCTGCCTCCTCTTGACGTACTCAACCATCCCGTCGACATCCGGCAACACCTTCTTGGGAGCGTCAAGCTCACCGAAGCGCTCCGTCCATGAGGCCAAAAGGGGGGTAATTGCAGCGTTGAAGATCTTGGCACCGGTGAGAACCTCGGTCGCCCTCACCCCAGGGATATGGGCACCCAGCATGATATCCACGAGCCCAACGGTGCCGCCACCGAAGAAGGGTTTCTCCTTTGAGCAACCCTTCAAGGCTCCCTCCAGTGTTTCCACCGCCGCGAGTATCTGCTTTATCCCCTCCGCCTTCTCCTCCTCTGTCTTCCCCTTGAACATCGGCGCCCATGGCGCGACAAAATGTACTGCATGCACATTGTCAGCCATCGCATGAGTGATTGCGAAAGGGCACATAGCCTAATAGTTGCAATGACATGAGTAATATCTCAAAGTCCTGAGTTCAAATCTTCATAGTACCCAATTTCATATTGGGTTATTTGAGGGCTAAGTTCCCTGTTTGATGGCTAAGTTCCCAATTTAAAAAGGCTACATTTATCCGGTTGGATATAGCGGCTGGGTAAAAATTACCCTTCTTTAAAAAAAATCAAAAAAAATCACATGACTGATTATCACCATTTACACGAGAGATTAAAAATGCTTGGACCAACTATGAGTCTATGACACAAATTACTCGCTCCCTTCGTCTCAAAATACAGCTACATTCGTCCTAAAGTACAGCTACATGTTCAGATTTATATATAGGTAAAGATTTATTTTAGAACATTGGGAGTTATTACTTATAGATACCTTGTCATCGATGTAGGCAGCCCAAAAGCGAGCGACAGCCCAGTCATAGGGGTCGGCGGGGAGGAGGGCGGCACCGTCGACGGGGAAGACCTCATCGATGATGTACTCTAATATGATCCGCGACTCGCAGATGGGTTTGCCGTTGTGGATGAGCACGGGGACCTTCTTGTGCACCGGGTTAGAGGCGAGGAGGAGATCGCTCATGCCGACGAGGTCCTGGCTGAGGCCCTTGAGGGCGAGGGCGAGCTCCACTCTGGTGACGAACGGGCTCGGCCATGTGCCCAGCAGCTTCAGCTCGTCCCATCCGGCAATCTCAGCTAGCTCGTCCTAGTGGTCAGGGAGAGAAGCAGATAGGGTAATAATAATCTTAAAACACGTTGTGTTTTGGATTGTTGTGTGTTTTTGCTGAGTGTTTGGGTGGTTGATCGATCACGGCAATAATGGTGATGTTGACATACGGGACCGGACTCGGCATATTTGCTAACGAAAAATAATTTATAAATAAAATTTTTTATGTAAGTGTTTTTAGGGATATAAAAGCAAAGGCTGAAAAATAAATTTCATTGAAAAACCTTTAAATTAAATCTAAATTTAGGGTCAAAAATTAAAATTTTAACTGATAATTAAGCATAAGTATAAGAAAAAAAAAATGAGGCCGGTGATACATGCTGCTCGATGTTGAACTGTAGTCACTGCTGGATGCATCATCCGTGATGTCTGCGTGCCAAAATCCATCATCATCCGTGATGTCAGGACATGTCTTTTGCATCGCCACTTTAAAAATAGAGTAAATTTCATATTGGGCCAAGATTTTATAATGGGCTAGGGTTAAATCAATGTTTTCACTTAACACCATACATCTTTACATAAATTTTCAGTTTGCACTAGGGGTGAGCAAAGGGAATGTGAGAAAACTTCATATGATATACACATGGATAACTATAAAAGGCAAAACATTTTATGTTTTCTTCTTTCTTTTTAGTGTGAGTGGTAATTAACTATTTTCTATTTTATTTTTATTCATTACTTCTTTTAATGTGCTCAACCCTAGTCCAAAGTGCCAACTAGTGCAAAGATACGTGGTGTTAAGTGAAAAGGTTGGTTTGGCCCTTGCCCATTGTGAAACTTTGGTCAAAATATATGGTGCAATGTGAAATTTACTCTTTAAAATATTCTAGCCGATAACTTTTTTTAAGCGGACTAAAAGTACCGTATAAAAATAATTTTTTTAAGATAATAGAATAATATTCCAGCCCAATTATTAAATTGTATTCGAGAATCTCTATCCAAAGTTGGTAAAAAGGTGCATGATCATCAACTCAAATTTACGACATGAAATATACCTAGTTAAGACCTTGTTTCGGGCCTTTCAAGAGCATGCATGCCAATTTTCTCACTCCACCCGCTATCTACCATCCTAGCATTCAAGTCTATTTTTTCCTCTCCTCCCGGCTCCTTCCTCCTCTCCCGCATGCACTTTTCCTAGGTCATATATTTCTAGGAAAATCGTAAACAAATAACTTAACCCTACTGATATCATATATTTCTAGAAAATGAGAAATAATTATTAGCAAGTATGAACATAACAAAACATATTTAATTCTGATTCTACTAATTCTATTACTAGCTTATATGCAAAACTATGATTCAGAAAATACACTTTACTATCCTCTAGAATAGCACCTTCACCAATTCGTCAATGTGTATTACTATGATGCATTGTTTCTTCCTCAGTATTCCACAAAAATAAAACAAAAAGGTACCAAAAGAATACTTTGAAAGGTATAATGTTTATAGAAATTTTATAAGCATTGGACCGATTGCTTAAAATATCCCGTGTTCTAAACAATCTCTAAATAGGCAACATATCCTATGCACACAGGCCCTCACGTGTACACACGTGCACACCAACTAAAAAATGTCACCAAAAAATCTAGAAAAAAACATACACATACTTTCAATTGTATTATACCTAGGGTTAAAATCTTAACGTCAAATTCATTATATTTTAGCCGTAAAAAAAACAAATAATCTGACAGTTTTAATTACAATTTTGTCAGAATTTTATCTTTTTTGTTATTCTCTATGTATAATGAATTTGAATATGCGACTTTGCACGTAGATGTAATACTATTGAAAGTACATGTATGAATTTTCCTAGAATTTTTTGTGATAATTTTTAGTTTTCCTAGAATTTTTTGTGATAATTTTTAGTTTTCCTAGAATTTTTTGTGATAATTTTTAGTTGGTGTACACGGTGTGTACACGCGAGGGCTTGTGTGTATAGGATACGCTCCCCTCTAAATAGTACATATATGTATTTATTTACTTGAAGGCAGGATACTGCACCCAGTTGGAAATTGGCAACTACTGCAAGTCTGCAACAAACATTCCCCTCCCCATTTCTTCTATAACAACAGACTGTCTCATCCTTGCTTATAACTTAGCTCGTATTATCTTTTCAAAATGCAACAAAACCTTATCTAGCCTTGCTCTCCGTTTAAATGCACAAAACTTTGGGCCTGTTGGGGTGCTTCTTTGCTGCGCCTTCCCAATATTCTTTTGATTCTACATTCATCTTAGAATCAAGCATCACTTCTTTAAGACGTTTGATGCCTCCAATGTTGATCAAACAAACATTAGCAAGATTTTCATAGATCAATTGGAGGGAGACAAGCTGTGGCAGAGCTCCCTCCTGGATTCCAGGAAGAGTCAGACGTTGAATCACAAAGCATAGCCTTTGCAGGCTTTGGAATGCCCCATATTTTATCATAAAATCCTCAAGGTTTTCTGCGATAAGTTTGAGATAAACCAAGTATCTTAACTCACTCAGGGCTGTTAGGACATCCCCTCGGATAGTAGTTGATGAAAGGTACAATTCTCTGAGAGCTAATAGCGAAGCGAAAAACTTGGGGATTTTTTGCAGTTCGCCGTAGAGTTTCAGGGACCTAAGGTTGCAATCTCCTCGAGGAGAAATTTGCAGGATGTCTTCGGAGCATTCACTGAAATCCACTGACAGAGAACGCGCATCATTTGGATCATTGCCGTTCTCTATGAACTTCTGAATGGCACTTGAAAGGGAAATAGACTTGTTTCTTTTTGTTGCAGATTTGCACCATATCTTGACTTTTCTCAGGTTCTTCATATGGCACATCAGTTGCACAAAACCATGGTTACTGCCAGCAACAAATCCTGACAGAATTTGCAGGTTGCTCTTTCCAGACTTGATAATTTGTTGTATTTTGTTTGATACACTGCCTGAAAGTTCAAACTTTCCAAAGAGATGAACTAATTTAGGAAGCACGAGTACTTCGGCTGGCATTATCACCACCTCTACCTTAGTTCTCCTGACATCAAATGTCTCCAAAAATTTTAGTCTACCAATCATCTTTGGAAGTGTGGTAACAGCTCCCCCAATGCTCAGATACTTGAGCAGTAACAGCTTGCATATGCCATCGAGATGGCCATCCATCAAGCCGTCACATTCTTCCAGATCCAAGACTTGCAGCAGTTTGTACTCCTTGAAGTCCAAAAAATCTTGGCATACTTCACCAGAGACCGTGAGAGACCGGAGAAGAGAGAGATCATTTCTCTCAAGTCCGATATTTGCAGCAGCGGTGCTACGACATTGGACAGAGAGACAACGGACGGCGTACTGATCAGGCAGCAGGAGCATCTCATCCTCGCCGCGGAATATGGTGATGAAACCCTCTGATATGGACCTGTGCATGATGAACTCGAGCATCATCCCAGGCAGTTGGCATGTCTTCACCCCTTCGTTGTTGCTCACATCGACGGGCTGGACGATATTCTGGTCCATGAGCATCTTGAAGCTCTCGACTGCACTGTCACCGAGCCGGGGGTGAGGCTGTCTCTTGACAAGCCCTTCAGCCAACCATCGCCTCAACAACCTCTTCCTCCTGATCGAATGGTTACCTGGAGCAGAAATTTTACGAACGTTGAGAAAGTACATGCAGATAAAAATTTTAGTATCTTTAAGGTATCTAGTACCTGGAGGTACCAAGTTTGTCATTAGAAAATAGTGTAACTTTCAGTACCTACTTAAGGAGGGTAAAATTACCATACCTGGAAACATGCCAAGATATAGCAGGCATGCTTTGGCAGCATCACCAGACAGGCAGGTGTAGCTCCTGGTTAGTACCCTTTGCATTCTTGCCAGGGCATTGCTGTTGCTCTTGTTTTCCAGATGGTGACCAAGGTTGCTGCATACATCACTGCAAGTGGGCCCTGTTACTGTACCTTCTGACAGCAAGAACTGGCCTACGCAGATCAGAGCTAGAGGTAGACCATCGCATTTCTTCCGAAGTTGTTCTGAACCTCTCTCCATGTCTGGTGATCAATCCTCAATAGAAGCACTTTGGAAGAACAAACCTTTTGAATATTCAGTGTTGAGTTTTCCCATTTTGTACACATAACCTTCTGCAGTGCTGCATGCATTAGCTATGGACTGGATATTCGTGGTCACCACTATCCTGCTGCTGACACCGTCGTCCGCAGGGAAAGCATGCTCTGTATCACACCACAGTTCTTCCCTCATGTCATCAATCACAATAAAATACCTACAAGAAAAGAAACCAAGAAAAGAGGAAAATTGTAAATGGAATTGGCTCTAGCACATAAAGCAACTTATGTATTTTGAAGCAAAGCAATGCTGAAAAGTAAAGCTAGCAACAATCTTACATCCATAAGAATTAAACGACACGGCAAAATCTTACTTGAATTATTAAGAGTAAATTTTATAGAACTACATATACTTTTACCGAGTTATTACAGAAGTATATAAAAGTATAGATTTAACAATAAATTTATCACAAAACTATAGGTTTAAAGCAAAGCATTGTAAAACTACAGATTTAGTAATAAAAGTATCACAAAACTATAGGTTTTGGATCTAAATCCTTGGCACTAATGTTATGTTTTAGTTATAAACGTTCAAGTTTGGTGATTGAACTGACGCTAAACATAGTTTTGTGATAAATTTATTATTAAACCTGTAGTTTTAGGATACTTCACCTTAAATATATAGTTCATTGATAAATTTGGTGTCAAATTTATAGTTTTGTGATATATATCATCTTAAATTTATAGTTTTATAATAATTTAGTATGTAGTTTTGTGAAATTTACTTAATTATTAATGATTCCTCTAACTAACTAGATTTTACATCACAGCACCGAAACCACAAAGGACTGACCCTAGTATTGTTGTGGGACCCATATTGTTACTTTTACTACTAATAATACATATGGGAGACTACATGTCATTTGTCATTGGTTTTGTCCAATTCCATCGTTTGTGCATGGTCTGTTGTGTGCATGCTTGTCTCTATAATTTTTGCAAGTACTTCTATCTATCGCGCATTAAAAATGTATGGTTTTTCCATAGTCTCTAGGAAGAAAAGGGAAGTATGCCAGAAGTTCTCTGAAAAACATCTAGCCCTAGTAAGGTGGATCCTATCTATTTAGGAAGCTGAAATATCTGTTCCATACATCCTAATAAAGCAAGTATGGAGGGTAAATAATCATCATCCAATCCTAACTCAGCTTTAAAATTTGTGGGAATTTTAGGAGAAGATGATTTGGTTATAGATGAGGAAGTAATTTCAACCAAAATAATCCTCAACCCAGTCCGTGACTCTACCATTCCTTTCCTAATTTACTGTCGCATCCACCATCTTGCCCAGCAAAAGAAAAGCTGTGTCTCTCTCCCTAATGCTTATGCTTATGCATGGTATCAGGGAAAAAGCACCAGACTCAATATAATTTTCTCCTCTCAAAAGTGCAGCATACTCAAAATCTCATTTACGAAATTGGTCAACTATCAGGTAGCTAGCATGTTTTACTGCTTTGCATGATAGGTAGCATCATTGCAAACCAAGAGTGACAGAGAAGCAGCATAAATGACCAAATTTGCTTTCTTCAGGTTATTTTTGTACTAGTTTGGTCCATCTTCTCTCAATGGTTACTGCTGCCAATATCATACTCAAAACAGTAGGAAATACAACTACCTACCCTAGGATGAATATGGGCTGTCAAATGATTTTGATCAAATGGGTCATATTCTACTATAGTACGCCTTAGTATAGGGAAGTATAGGATTTTTGGCAGATAAGTGAAATTTATTCTTCCCTGAAAAAAAAAGAGCGAAATTTACTCTTAGAGAGATCAGATTCTAGAAATTAAGAAAACTGCTAGTTCTTATCTCTCTTATATAGTTTGCAACAAAGGAAGCTTCCTCATGTAGGGCTTGTTCATTTAATCCCGAAGAGAGAGGGATTGGAAGGAATTAAGGGGGAATAATTCCACACCACAATAGGTGTGAAGTAAATCCCCTTCAAATCCCCCTCAATCCCCCTATGAGAGAGATTAAACGAACCAGGCCTTAGCTATATCATCACTAAGTTACAAACATTATGATAGCAGAATGAATAAATTAGGCTATGGATATGCACATTTATTTGAAAGCTTGAAACCACATGTGTATGCTGTTATCACAATCTTTGGCCCTGACGAATTGGTAGCGTGCAACCAAAACAATACAATACAGTGTTGTGTTAAGACTAATTCTGATGAGAGCCGTTTTCTCATCTTGTAGTGCTCCCACATTTCCCTAGATCGTCAAGGTGAGTTTCCACTAAATTTCTGAGAAATTGCAGCCACCAGTGGAGCAACCAAAGGAGGAACAGGGCCAACACAATACCCAAAAGTATTATAGTTCCCGTGACACCAATCCATGCTATTTCAGCGAGAGAAAGAAAAAAAATACAGCCTAAAATGGCAACGGATAGAACAGAAAACCAGAAAAGAGATCGAAGTGCAAGGAAGCAAGTTACCCTGTTCGTCCCCATGTCTCGGCCAGCGGCGAGCAGCACGCCATCGCCGCCTGATCTTTCCCTCACCTAAGTCCTATGAGGGAGTTAGGAGGGATTATAAGTTTAGAGGGATGAGGCTATTAACTGCTTTGTTTGGTTGGGAGACATGAGAATTTTGATAGGATGGGATGGGGGATTAAGGAAGAAACTCCCTCCTTTTCAATACCTAGTAGGGGTGGTAATTGAGAGGGAATTCCTCCTTTAATTTGCCTAAACAAATCTCAGCCATCCGTTTTAATTAATGACCTAATCTCCAACTAAAATCCCTATCAATTTCCACCACCTCTACCAAACAAGGTATTGGGATTAAAAATCAAATTTCCATCTTAATCTCACCATCAATTCCCTCGTGTAAACTCCCAATCCCCTTCTCTCGAGTTGCCAAACAAGCCGTAGATCCTTCCTAGCAGGACATGACGGCTAGCGAGGATCCGTCAACTAGCGCCGGCGGCGGCTGCTGCGGCTTACTGCTGACCCAGTGACAGGAACTCGAGAAGCGCAAGAGCCCACCAAGGCCATACAACTTTTCTTTTAGTGTAGGCTCTCATACGATGGCCTAATCAGATAAAGAAAAAGCTAAATTTTAAATTTTCAAACTTAGTTTTGAGACTGATTTTAAGATATTTTCAACGTAATTTCTTTTCAGCATTGACTTTTAAGTCACCAAGAACACATATATAAAAGTTCTACCTAAAAACTCATTTTTATTCTCTAATAAGCCGTTTTGGCTTATTAAAGAAAAAGCCAAACGATGGGGCCTGTAGTAGTTGTCGTGTCGACCTCATAGAATAAGCCGAAAGTAAAGGAGGACTAGTTTGCCCCTCTCTTATGTCTGGTAGAGGGATGAGTCTCATTTGCATTACTATACTTTGACATTAGTCATTGAGATGTGAACTTGCTTACATGTCATAGGGCAGTATTGTAGTGGATCTGTTTCCTGAAAAGAGAGACTTGAGGTTATTTTTTCCAATTGGTTCGTCTAATTTGTTTGGAGATTTGTGCCCTAACTCTTCCTCTAGATTCAGCGACCAATGGTAGCCTGACTCACTTGGCGAGTTACGGTTTAAGGTTCAGAGTTAAGGTCAGGGTAGGAGGAGTTCCAGCGTGGTGGGGTAGTGATGGGGAAGGAGGTGGAGATTGGGTTGAGGTGAATAGCGATGGCAAGACCGAGTGAGGGAGGAGGGAGGGGAGAGGGAGATGCTTGCATGAATCTCAGAAACGATCCAATGGTCTAGAATTCGGAAGATTTGTGAGGTTTGTTTCCTATCAAATGTCAAATAAACCGTCCTTTCAGTTTTCTTTTTCCTTTGCCCTAATGGCTCTCGCTCTGTCTCTGCCTGCACCGCTGAATCCTAATGGGTAGTTACCGTCACTGATCTTCGCACTTAGAGGGAAAGCTGACTGGAGCTTCAGTTTGCAAGATTGTAACTTCAGTTTGCAATCGCACATAGATCACGATGCATATGAATTTGCAAGGTTGTAACTTCAGTTTTTAGCACGGTTTCCCATTTTGTTTCTCACCAAAATTTTGAAATTTCGATCACTACTAGAAAAGGCATTTTCTTCCAACACTAGGTTTTATTTTTCCAGGCATGTTAAAATATTCCCACATATACCATTTGTAAAAGTACCAAGAGACCACATAGATCTAGCTCCGCCTACGAAAAACAATTTTTACAGGCAGGTCTAAAGATGTCCGCCTGTTAAAATCAGGACCCTATTGATCGAGCGGAGCTCACAATGACTAAGTCTCACGCTCTCCTCTTTCCTCACCCACGCCTCTCCTCCACCGGTTCCCGTCCCCTCTCTCACCACACCTCTTCCTCCCTTACCCTCCACCGCTTCCCCTCCCCGATTCCCCTCCCCTCCACTCCTCTCCTCGGCGGTAGGGCGTCGGCTCCTCCCCTCCCCTCCAATCCCTCTCCTAGATCCGGCCGGAGGTGAGGTCGGCAGCACCCCATATCGGCCGTGTCCTGCAGCGTTCGACAACATGGAGGAGGGGCGGCAGTGGAGGCTCCACTCCCCTTCCCCCCTCTTTTATCCCCTCCCATCCCTCTCCAAGATATGGCTAGAGGGGAAGAGGTCATCGACGTGTTACATAGCCGCCTGCGAAAATTTATTTTTTAAGCGGCCATTTGTCCGCTTATGAAAATACGTGATTTTCACATGACTTAAGTTGCGACATGGATGGTGGATAATCGCTTGTGAAAACCTATTTTGTCCACCTGCAAAATGCTTTTTTCTAGTAGCGGGTGTCACAGAAATTTCCGGTTTCATGAATTTTCATGCTTATTGGACCGAAATTATTTGAAATTTTAATAAATTTTGACTGAATTTTAATAAACATTGAACAAATTCATAAAAAATTAAGAAAATAAAAAAAATGCGGTGAGACAATGACTTGTGGGGTGGTGGGGTGTGGAGGGGGAGGGGAGAGTGGGGCCAGGGGTAGCAAAATTCGTTCAGAAATAGCATCTCCTTTTTATTTAACTACAATTTTGCTATATATTTGTCGACAAATTTTCCCCCAAAAAATTTGACAGATGTAATTGCAGTATAATCGTAGTGTAATTACACTGTAACTTGCATGTAATTACACTGTAAATATAATATAACTTGTATGTAACTTTCAAAAATCTCTCCGTAACATATTATTTCGGTAAAATGGAGGTTGTAGGAATAAATTCTTTCACATATATGTGTGCTGTGATTTTTTTCTTCCTCACCAAAATAAATCTTGTAATATATCTAACGATTCAAAATTACGTGAAACTTACATATAAGTTACACTGTAGTTACATGCAAATTACAGTGTAATTACATATACGTTACAGTGTAATTACACTATGATTGTACTATAATTACATCTGTCAAATTTTTAAGAGAAAATTTATCGATAAATATATAGGTGGTCCCTTTTAACTATGCATATATATCAGCATATGCATGTATTTAGCGAATGATGGAAGTAGTTCTCACCTCTTGTTACGCAAGTGTGTTCTGAGACGCAAGCTTAGATGCTCAACGTCGGCCATGTCGTCGTCGTCATCCCTAACCTGCGACCCAAACTTCTTAATCAGTATCTCCTCGAGAACCTCCTCGGCGGTCTTCTCCGCCGCGCTAACCCAAACCATCGGGCTGAACTGCCCGCCGCCGACGTCGTCGTACACTTGCTTGGCGAGCGCGGTCTTCCCTAGGCCACCGAACCCGACGATGGAGATCACCTTCTGCCGCCGCTTCTTGCCGCCCTCGGCTTCCTCCTCCTCCTCCTCCTCCTCCACCAGCTCCAGCAGCTCCCTCCGGGGAGCCTCCATGCCGACGAGGTTACGTCGGAGAGCTGGCACCGGCTCGGACATAGCAGAAGACTTCTTCGCCGCTGACGGTGGTCCGGTGGCGGCCATGGGGCCGGCGTACTTGGTCTTGAGCTCATACAGCCGGGCCGACTCCTCCCTGAGCGCCCTTGTTAGTGATATGTCCTAGAGGCAATCATAGAGATGATTGTATCACACACTATTTTTACATATTTATTCGACTTTATTCCTTGAAATAGATAAACTCATTATTGGTTAATGAATATGTGATTCTTTCATGAGACTCTTTATGTTATGTGTTGCTATTTCTAAAGGATCCCTGATCAAATATCATATGTGGAACAAATATGTTTAGATGATCTGCACATGTATTAATTAATAATTATGTCTCATGGATCATGGTATAGAGATACCAAATTAATAATATGGACATATGTTAGTAAACATGTTGTTGAATAGACCCAACATGAGACACTGTAAGAGCCATATGTGTTGTGTCATCAGTGATCTCATTTAGTGTTGGTGTTGAATCCTTAGACATGAGATTATTATGGTTCCCAACATGTGTAGTAGCTTACTTAGGGACTGCTAAACGCTACTTCGTAATTGGGTAGTTATAAAAGTAGTTTTCAGGTATGCTATGAAACATGTAGTGGGATATGAATAATCAAGATGGGATTTGCCCCTCCTATGGAGAGATATCTCTGGGCCCCTCGATGTTATAGATTATGGAAGTGCATGGCCATGCCAAAGGTGATTGAGGGGTCAATCACAAGTTATATAATCTATCAACAAGTTCGAGTGAATGATTGAGCTATTAGAGGATGGCACATATCTAGCCTTGAGTTTAATCGATATCGTGAGGCAAAGGGGTTCATACAAGTATACACTAGAGATTCAGCCAATATGATCTTTATGTATGCCCGGTGGGTCAATACGTTCTGCTAGGGGCCGCTGTTGACGCGTGGACCGGAAAGGAGTTTTCGGGTTACAACCGAGTATATATGAACCTACAGGGTCGCACGCTTAATGGGTCGGAATAAGGGGATTGGATGGAGATCCAATATGAGCTTAATTCGGATAGGGATCCGAATAGGAGTCCTACGGGCCTTGGAGGCCCGAGTGATGGATCCTATATATTCGTGAGGGGTGTGACCGGCGGAGGTATTGCATCACGTGAGAAACCCTAGCCGTCACTTCCTTCTCCGAGCAAAACCCTAGCCGCGCGCGGGTGCTAGCACATCTGCGCGTGGCGTTCTGTCCCTGTACGTGTGGATACCGGTAGAGGCGTCGCTGGTTTGCGGTGCTGATCGGCGTGGGAGAGTATGGCGAGGAGAACGCACGAGGAGGAGAAGGTCGAGCCGGTGCGATCGACTACTTCCTCTACATCAACGCGCGCTACTTCACGAGAGTTCCTTCGACTTCTCAGCGTTTTCTTCCGCAGCGCAGCGCGTCGAGTGGTAACGATCTATGATCTAATACTTGCATAGTTCCTGGTTTACGCGATAGAAAATTTTGTTTTATGCTATCGTAGCCTACGTGTATCCTAACAGCCCCTGACGTCGGACGCGAGCCGAGCGGTGCTGCGTGCCGCGAGGAGCCGTGGGCGGCGGTGAGCTGGTCGTAGACGAAGCGGTCGACGCAGTCCTCCATCTGGTGAGCCAGGCGGCGCGCCTTGTCGACCCACACCGCCTGAACGACGGGTCCGGATCCGTGGCTGGCGGCGTGGACTTGGATGGCGGCGAGCATCATGTCAAGCTCGGCCTTCACGGACTGGACG